GGAGGGGAGGGGAGGGAGGGGAGGAGGAAAATAATCCAGTACAAAAAGTGGGTAAAATAAACTGAAGCCAGATTGATCCTCAAAAATAACTGTTTTTCTACTATGGACAGAGGGCACCTCTGACAGTACCCATGACAGTACTGCTTAGCTGGAAGAGTACTTGCCTTCTGCTTGAGTGATTGTGTATGTTTTTATGGAGAGCACTCACCCATTACAGATATTTACTTATGGAAAGTGTCTCCTAATGCCTGGGGATTGCAGGCACTTGTGCTTCCTGGCTGATGTATTTGCTTTGTGCTGATTAAGTTCCCCCTCTAAGGAGCGCAGGGTAATCGGTGGCCTCCTCATCTCACGAGAACCATTTCTGTCTTCCCTGACGTGGGCAGAGAAGGGAGGAACACTTATGTCAGATTAATGATGTCCCAGCAAGGCGAGAGACGTCTGGATAATTGGTGGCATTTGTCGCAAGGGAGGTGTCATCTTCCTTCTGCAGGAATGGCTGGTGAGGGTAATTAGCAAGAATTACTGCATAGATGTTGGAAATTGTTCACCAGTTATCAATGACGTCTCCTGCATGCTGCTGGGCAGAGCTTCTCCCAAACACCTGCTGAACAGGGAGCGGGCATCGGGCTGCTTTATTCAGTGCATGACATGCACTGCCCTCCTTCACTGTAGCCCTCCTGCTTTTTAAGCTGTGCTGCTTAACCACAGCCATCTGGGGCCGTTGTAAAGGCTCCCATCATTCGTACGAATTACAGGTATGGGCTAATTGAAGGCAAATTTACTTTGTGCTGACACAAGCTGGTGCTCACACTGCTTTCCAGGGTGGCGGTTAATTTCAGTCCCATCTGATGGCAGAAGTGCCAGGTAAGCAGAGAACTTCTGCTGATGATGAGAAATACCCATAGCCCCTCGTCGGTGTTGACTAAGTGGAAACGCACTTGCCTTGTGTTAATTAACTAATTCCCACTCTTCCTGGGCAGCTCATCAGAAGTGTTTCAGTGAATGTCGTGACTCAATCCAGCCAATCGACAGGGAGCACGGAGGTTTAATGGAAGCTCGTTTCACATTTGCTGATTAATTTCTGTGATCCCGTGATGCCACTGGCTCGCTTGAGACGTTTTTCTCCTGGTTAGTTATTAGCATCTTGCAGTAATGCAATGTGCTGAACGGCTACAAAGCAGTGCAGTGGTGCTGAACTAACGGCGTGTTTGCTGCCTATGATCCAATTCCAATCATTCCTGCAGGATGCCACCGAGTCAGAATCATTTTTCCCACTGACACCCCTTGCCATTTCGTGGGTGCTGGGGATGATCAGGGTGAATTAACTCCCCTAAGCCAACAAGTAGCAAATAACATTTTGCTCCCAGAGGGATGCTCAGGTTTTGTGGTCGGGGGACCCGTTTGTGCAGAGCCCCCACCAGCCCCAGGACACCCCTGGGCAGCTGTGTGCTCTCTGTTCCTCTTTCCTCCATCCCTACAGCTGCTACACGTCCATCCATTTCCACCCTCCTTGTTGTTAATCAGCCACAAGTGTTGTTTACAATGCATAACTCAGACATTCGCATGAGATGGGGGATATGGCTGTTAAGCACGATTAGGCTTGTCTTATGCTGATTAATTCTCTTAATTTCTAGGTAATTAGATTTATTAGTTGCATTTCTACCCAACGGTTCCTGCCATTATTTATGGCTGGGTTGCTGACTATCAGTCAGTGCTTTATATGTCTCAAGTTGCTCCATTCCCGTGCCCTGTGGAAGATGTTTGCTCCTCGGAGGTGTTTGTGCACATGGTGCCTTTCCCCATAATGGTGATTGAAGAGGAGGGGATTTGTCATTGCCTGATTAATTCCCTTGAAAATGTTTTGTGTTCACCAGTTTCGCAGTCAAACATAGGGCTGCTGGCCATGAAAGCTCTCTTTAGGGCTCAAGAGAATGAGAATAATGGTTGCCATCACAGAAGAGCCTTATCTCTTAGTATTCCAGTGCATTAACCGTTTTTTCCCATTCTTTAATAAATCTGAAATGATTTTCAAGAGTTGTTTCTACGACAGGTGAAAGCAAGTAATAACCTGACACCTGATGGATTTCATGCTTGCTTCTTCATCCCGCTCAGCTTTGCACTTCATTCTTTGCTTTGCATTTTACAGAGTACAAAGAGTCCCTGAACCTGCAGATAAGAGCCTCTCTCAGCCCTGTAACTCAGGATTTATGCAGCTGCTACTGCTAAGATGATCTTGCACAACTTGCATAGTAAAGCCCTGCTCTCGTTCAGCCCGCTGGCATTTCTTCAACCCAAACTGCTGCTGATGGCTTTAGAGTGTGGGAAGACAATGGCTGAGGCTGCTCCAGGCACAGGAAAAGAACCAAGAGAGGTGGCAGTTCCTCACCACAGCATCCTGGGGCCTTTTGCTGCCCATGGCCATGCACACAGCATCCTTCTTGCTTGACATCAGCGGGCTACAAGCGAGCTTGGAATCCAACCCGGGCATCTGGTCTTTTTGTTGTTAGTGGATATAGACCAGTTGCAATGGCCATTTTGAGTAGATCCTTTCCTTACCCCCCAGATCAGCTTATATGGAAGCTCTCCCTTTTACACCGTCCTTAGTAGAGACAAATCCCACTCTGCAGTGACTGTTACAGGCAGATAAACCCGAGCATCGTCTGCAGACAGGCGGTCACCCACTAGATGGCAAATTTGCTCCACACAAAGCCACGCTCAGCGCTGCTCATCTGCAGAGAGCACAGGAAACTGCAGATGTGTTAAAAAAGAAGGCAGCAGGTCCAATTTACTGAGAGACTTAACGATTTTTCACCTGCATAGCCAACAGGATATAGAGCAGCATCAAGGCTATAAGCCAAATGGGCAACTGCAGGAGCAGCTGGGCTTTGCATTGGAGTGCATTGGTGGCAGGGTAGCAGAAAGGGATGAACTGCTTCCTTCTGGGACACAACCAGCTGTTCCAATCTATGTGAAACCACAGCTGAGAGTATCTCGAATGTGGCAGTGCTTGCTTCCTCTGAAAGTCTGCTGTTCCAAAGTACTACCTTTCAATTTTTCATTATCACCCAGTAATGGGGAGCACGCTGGCCTCTGCTGAAGCATGGAGATCTGACGTGGAGAAATAGGAACAGCTGAGGCTTGAAACATTTCCCACATGCCATCTGTAGGATCTGAACCTTCGATTTATCACCCAAAAGCAAACCCATGGACTTGGGCTTTTATGTAGCCCCACAAAGGGGGCACAAGACACAGCTGCCCTTCTTCACGATTATTTCCATTAGCTCTGCTGATTATGAATCATAATCTTTGTTGACACTCATGGAGTGCTTGCAAGACCACTGTTTTGTGCTCTGCATGAAGTCACCCAAGGAGAAACCAGAGGCTTCTTGGTTCTCTGGAGCATGGGGAGAAAAGCATTATAAAAAGGCAGCAGCACCTTTTGTATGTGGTGATAGGATGACCAGAATGCTAATGCAGTGGGAAATAGTTCTCATAGGTAGGAATTGCCTGTAATAGAAAAGCAAATCCACTTTTTGCTAGATACAAATTCCACTGAACAGTTCAAAGCCTAAATGAAATATTTGTACAGGCTGTAATTGAATTAGAGCTGATGGAGAAAGGTTGTCGTTCTGAGCTCTGTGGAACTGGAGGAATCTGCAGCTTTGGACCAGGTGGAGGAGATTTGTGGAGCACAGCTGAGGCTCTTAAAGGGGGAGAGAAGAAGGGGAACATGGAGCTGCTTGGTAGAAGGAGGGTGATATTTAGCTATAGGGCCAGAGGGCAGGAAATGGCAGCACTGGCAGTGGTGTGGTTCTGACCAAATTATTACAGCAACTGCCAACCCAATGCTAAGGAAGGTGATGTATCCTGTCTCTGGTGGTGACAAGGTGGGTGCTGATGCTTCTGATGAAGACTTTATGCCTTATC